AATTGGGGACTGGGGTTGGTCGGATAATTGAAAAGTCGGATAACCGAAAAGTATGAAAAAATCCATTATTAGTGTAGTATATTATTATATCCCACGTAATTAGTATATTAGTATATTAGTATATCGCAATTAACCTACTTCGCGTTGAATTTTCATCGATGTTAAGCCTAACAAAAATTTTTTAAAATAATAATCGTCGCTATTATATCGTTAAAAATTAGAAAATTAAGCCTCGTTTAAATACTGGTTCCCTTTCGTGGTCGAATGAGTGTTGCCAGATAAAACACGTAAAAATAATATTAAAGTAGCCAAGACATAGCCAAATATTGTAGCGCCACATCACTAGCGGACATTTGAAATAGGACGACTAGGACGGTCGGTTAATCGGGGGTCGGATAATCGAGGCTCTACTGTATATCTTCTTCTCCATCTGAATACAGACGTTTCCTTCTCGAAATAAATCTTATTTATTTATTTATTTTTAATTTGACTATAACATGTAAAACACAATTTATATTTGTGATTGTGTAGAACTTATGTACTGCTTCTTTGTTGCATTATATCGAGAATTCACAATAGAAATTTGCATTTCTACTGTAAATTCTCGATATAATGAATGAATAAATTTTTCCACCAAGACATAGCTATGCGTCACTTTGTAAGCTACAACTTAGTATCCGACGCAACTAAACTAATATTTATAGTTTCGTGCTTTTATCTGTTTAATTATTTGTTAAAGAGATAAGAGTTCATATGTATTACTGCCTTAAAATTACAATTAGTTCATGTTCGGTTTAGTTATTCTAAAAAAAATTGCCTGAAAATGACTTATTTCAGCAGAAAATAGTAAAAGAAATTAATATAGAATATAGTACACAGATAATACTGTATATACAACACGTAAATTCAGTATTATCGTTCAAATGGCTATTTATAAATAGAAAGAAAAAACCTATGTAACAAAACATTTAATATGTAGAAACCTATCAGGATGAAGTTAATATCAGCAATATCTTTGTAAATTACTTCCGCAAAATGAATGGTTTTTAATACTCTTCAGCAGACTTCAACATTAATTCAAGAAGCTTCTAATAGCAGTTCTTATAATCCTTTGTTCTTCTGGAATGTACTCCACAAGAAATATATGTTACAGTTATGAATTTTAAGATCAGTACGATCGATATAGATTATATTAATATTGAAATATTAAAACAAATAGCCGACATAATTGCAATACCTTTCTCGTATTTAATGAATAAATCGCTCAACGCTGGAATCTTTTCAAATGAATTAAATCATAATCTTGTTTTACCAATCTACAAGAATAATATAAAGAATCCATATCAGTAATTGAAAATTACAGACCCCGTTTATTATTATTCCAGTTTTAGCAAAGACTATTGGAAATAATTTTATACGAGTTTCAGCGATTATGTTAAGAGTAAAAAGTAATTAGTAATAATCAATATTATATAAAGAATTTCTCCACTACCAACACATTGTTAAACCTGTGTATTAACATCGATAAGTCTAAATTTTTGTGTTTTGCAAACCTTAATAAGCATTAATCGACGATTAATTTCAAATTAAAATAAATAATAAAAATCAGTTACGTTAATAACATATAGTACGTAGGTATTAAAATAGATAACAAATTTCGATGAAATCTGCGCATAAACAATCTTCAGCACTGGATAAATGCACAGAAATAATGAAAAGGGTACAGCCATTTTTAAACTTAAATTTGATAAAACGTCTATACTTATATCTCGAAACAACACTTATTTGGGTTTCTGCTCATATCGCAATTTAAATAAACTGTAAGTACAACAAAACCGTTTATCAGATCAGTTTATAATTTAAACTATAACGATCGTGTTCTTATTTTCAAAATAAAATGGATAACATAGTAACTTTATATTAGTAACAACTACTGTTGGATTACTTTAAGATACTTAAGCGATAGAAAACAAGCTGTTTTCTCTTTGACTTCATCAATAAACATTGTAGATTAATAAAATATAGTTTCAGAATGAAAGATAATTATTTGTTACCAGAAATAAAAGTAGCAGTGGGCCTTTGGCACACTGCTACTTTGATTTCCGATAACAAGAACGTCTTAATTCTAATTGCTAAAGTTTGCGATAATGAAAAAATTTAAATAATTACAAGTTAATCAAAAGAAGCTTAAAAAAACTTTTTGGTTTATCTATTTTTTCGCTTATTATCAATATTTTTGGCGTTCTTTCTTTTGTTTTGTTTTGTACTAAACACTTTGAATTTATGTTATTAATTAAATCTTTCAAACAAAATTCTATACTAACCTTATCCGTAAGTTATTGTTGACTAAAAAATTATAGCTCGGCATTTTGAAATCAAAATGATAATCTTCGGGAGATTTCATTTTATGGTGACTTTCAGTTCTCATTGCCTCACATGTCATTCTTCCATCTGGATAAAACGGTTTCAATATAACATCTTTGATCTCGTATATAATTCCACTTTTATCATTCGTGTCATGGAAATATTCGTTTCTTGGCTCTACGTAAAATATTTTTTTACCATGCTTCAAAATTCCTATAAACATATTTTCGAAATAATAACCAATAATTAATTCTCCACTCGGTCCACCTAAGCTTCCCACGTATATATACGATTGAGGTATATTAGAAACTCTCAATATTTCAACTTTCTCTTCTCTGTGGATAAATATTTTAGCTGATTCGAACAAATTCGACTTCTCTTTTTGTAGGGTTAATCTATAGATTTTTCCTTCTATCACTAGTTGCATACCTGCAGATGTCAATTTGTATTCGACACTTTTTACGTTTCTTATCTGATAATTGCTTGATTCAATAATTCCTACGTCAGCAATATTTTCACAAATAAAAGATTTTAGAAGTAGAATCACTAAATATTGATGCATTACGAAAAGTTTTTAACGATCCGAACGCAAATTCGAATTTTCTCTGCTTCGAATCGAATGTTTTCGAAAGAATATTTCGAATGCGCAGGTGAAAGTTTGAAAAATTTCGATCGATTCATAAATGTTTTACCGGAAAATTATTACAAACCGTACTTTTCCGTGGAACGAAGTACAGTAAATTGGATTATGGAACATTATGAAGACCCCTTCAGGCTAATTCGAGACGCAGAAGTCGATTTTGGCCGCTTCTCTCGTGCCGCAAAAGTTGGTTGAATTCTATCTTTTGCGGCGACCGCCGCCAAGACGCGTTTTTATCAGCCAATAACAGTTCGTCTGGTAGTCACGTGAGAAAATACAATCACGTGGTGTTTTAATGCCGGAAAGTTAGACGCGGTTAACCAAGGTAACTAACATCAGAATAAAGAGAAAAGATAAATTTAACAAAAATTCTACACAATTGATCATATATAATTTAATTCAAAGAACAAAACAACCGAATCTTACTCGAAATAGTATTCTTTATCGACAGACTTTAATTGAGGAATAAGCGTATTTTGTACACCAGTTCTTTCTCCATCCAAGAAAATATCTCTAATTCAAAATCTTCGTTCGAATCTTCGACAAAATCTTCTACAAAGCAAGCCGTACAAAACAAAATTTGTAAACGCGTGGATAGCGGCAGTGTCGGTATCGTTTGCCATCATGAATACTGAATGCATGCGCCGAAATGTAAGCGGATTACCGCTTGTGTGGTTGTGCTGCCGCGGCGAAGATTCGTTTGCGTCACCGCTTTTCCTGGATTCGCCGCAAGTGTGCATCCTCCTTAACACGTCATATATAGCGTGATTTCCAGCGAATTTTACCAATTGCGAATCTCTCCGAAGTTCGGAATTATGGAGTTTTTCGCTAGCAAAAAACTTTCGCCATCAATCGTATTCCCCCTAGTTGTGTCGTTGGTTTCTGTTATTTATAAGGTGACAACAGAAACTCTCTTGAAATAGAGTAGAGATTATTAGAGGAAATGAAAACTGCTCCATTTTTAGACTTCAATTTGAAAAAAATTGTTAATCTATAGGCGATGCTTCCCGGGAGAAGTTTCAATCAGAAGTTGGCCTCTATTTTAGATGTTACAAACGTGAAAATCCAAATAACTCCACGTGGCCAGACCGTTTCCGAGACGGGATCCCACGACAAAGTAGCAATCCATCAGTATTTCAGTGGCTTTACCCACTCGGTCCTTGTGAGTGATTTCTGTTATAAAGATATTCAATTAAAGGAAAATTGGTGGAAATTAATTAAGGGCCGTTTTAAAGAAATAAATGTCTTGCTAATTATTTTCGAATGAAAAAAAAACTAAGTGGGGTCATATTGATTCGCACCATGTCAGCCATAGGTTGAAACGCTTCCTTTTCTTTGCACACTTTTACAAACGCGTTAGACGAGTTAGAAATATTCTAACTCGTCGCGTTTATACAACACAAATGGCACCCTCCCTTGACTGAAATGAAAATGGCAGATGTATATTCTATTTTATTTTAACATGGCGTCGTTACAGGCAATCTATGTAGTACAGTAGACCCCCTATAACACGGGTTCCTATAGTTCGGATTCCTATATGACGGCGAAAAAATTGCGAAGTATCCGTACAAACTTGGTAAAAAAAACTCCTATAATTCGGTAAAACGTCATCGGGCAGCCGAACTACTTTCCGCCGTCCAGGATGGAGGAATTTTTTGGGCGGAATAACTTATATATCCTTAATAACCCCCTTTCCCCTCCTACTTTTACCTCACATAGAGGTGAAAGTTGGATAGACGTGGCTGTCTGTAATGGAGATCTTTATCCTATGATTAACAACTGGAAAGTAGATGAGGAAGACAGTCTTACGGAACACTCAATGATTTCTTTTGATATATTAAATGGTAGCAATAATAGTAATCAACCATATAACGTAAGTTCAAAATATATTATAAAACGTGCAGATTGGTTTGCGATAAAAGAATGTCTAGAAGAGAATTGGAATTCTAATTACTCAGACGATAAAAACATTGTCGTTGATCAAATAAATGAGAATATCGAACTTATAAATAAGGCCTGTAATAATTTTATACCAAAGGGAACCTCCGTCCGAAAAGCAGTACCTTGGTGGACACAAGAACTTGATGACTTACGAAAAAAAACCAGGAAATTAAGAAAATTATATCAACGATGTGGGAACGAACAACTTCGAACAGAACGTAGAAATGAATATCTTGCCAGCCAAAAATCATATAAGGAATTAATTAAAATGGAGAAATTACGTAGTTGGCAAACATTTTGCACCAACACCTCGAGAAATCCATGGGGATACTTAACGAAACTTTGTACCAACAAACTACGGAAAACGACTATTATGACAACATCATTACATAACCGTAANAGACAGAAAACAAGAACTTTATAGAGTGATCATTGAACACTAACTGCAGAAATGATGCAAACACAGGGAGGACTGAAAATACTAATATGACAATAAGTGACCACATACGTTTTATTACTCACAGAGGACATGGAAATACAAATTGAAGATAAGAATTGAAGACAGAGATTAGTGTGAATTATTGATACATATAGAACTATTAATGCTACCAACGACTGGTAGTTATGAACTTCTTTACGTTATCTTCAGTGATTTTCAACATGTATTTTATTAATTAAGAATACTACAGTTGGAAACTGGTATTAATTTAAAATAAATCTATAAGTATAGTTAAAGTATTGGAATACTAATCTGTACAGACTAATTGCATATTAATAATTTTAGTAGCATTGAAATTATGTATTATAAATATAGTAATTTATATTATTAATGTAAGTAGTTGGAATTTTAATATTTAACCAGAAATAATAACTATTTTTAAGAGAGTGTTCATTCACAACTTTACGTTAAAATATAAGATTGTTAAATATATATGTTGAACATGTATGTTAACATATCTTTTGAATATATTCAGTTACAAACATTGTAAATATTATTAATATTGGTTCTACTATTATCTCATAACGTATTATATATATTACATATATATATTGAAATATTATATACCAATATCTAACTTGAACTGTATAGCTTATGTTATAACAAATAATATATAAATTAATACTGTATTATACATTTTATATTGTAATATTAATTAAACTTATTGTATAGTTTTTCCTGATAATGCCACAGCGGGGTCAGGATATATGTATATTACATGTAAAAATAAAATGATTGATTGATTGATTGATTGATTGCTTAAGCTTGTTTTCGTCGCGGATCGCCCCTCCGCGACGAAAACAAGCTTAAGCAATGGCGACGTCGAACGGTGCACACTCGGTAAGTAATCCTACAATTTTTTTTATAGCATAGTTTATACGGATTATTCCCAAAAAATTATACGTGTTTTGAAAATGTTGAGTCGAATTAGTCTAGAATAGAGTAATTTTATGGAAGAAAACCCTTCAAACAGCCGTAGTCCGTAAACTTCACACGTGTCGGGCTGTGATTGGCAAGGACTCGTACAAAATAGATTCATAAAGAACGGAACGTATCTACCGTGTTATAGGGGGGGTCGACTGTTCGTTGGTCCTACACCTCTTGAGATATGATACACCGAACCCCTTTATCACCTCAACCTCTCGACTTTTACCCACCAAAATTTAATAGGATCAACGTCCTTCATATACATATATTTCATTTCTTAATTTTTATTTCATTATGAGATATTAAGGAAAATAGACGCCAACACACACACACACAAACACATATATAAATATATACATATAGGCCTATACATATATAGACTACATATATGAAAAAACAGTTTATGGAACCATTATGTGCGAAATAAAATAAATTCCTAATCTTGATATGGAACAAAAAATATAACAGGCGTCTCAAGAGCTAATTTATGAACTCGAATAAATTAAACTCAACCCAATAAGCGGATGTATGAGAGGATAAACAACAAAAAATGGTGGAAATTAAGACAAAGTTTCGTGCGAGAGAGAAAAAATACACATGATCAAAATATCAAGGTTCAGCGAAGTAACAAATCATCATCAAGATAGAGCTCAATATGTGCAGCCAACTTACATTGTCAAATTAATGACGCAACGACCGGATTAGCCACAGATACAGGCTTTCTTGTCAAGTTCATTAGCGAAGAGAATATGTAGAAAAACATAGAACGTGAGAGGAAAAAAATGCCATTTCAAAGCGTTACCAAGCATAGATTCAGAACATATGGAAAGAGTAAATTCCGATTTAATATGGGGTTTTTACAATTTTCCTATACATGATATTTAGTAGGTGATAGAATTACGTCACCGTTCGACGGCCTACTAGGAGTAGATACAATTACAGATCTAGGATTAGAGATAAATCTAGCAGAGAAGAAATTAATACTTCTCCCAACAGAAGAGGGATAAACTTCCAAGACACTTACTTCTAACGAAACAAATCCGATCGAAAATTACTCTGTACGCTGTGGAATATAGAACTGTTATCACAGTTGTTGGCATGGAAAAATATCCCAAAGCAACGCAAAAAGGAAGTATAAAACAAGAAAAATATAATTGCAGTACCCAAATAATTAAAAAGAGAAAAATTAAAATAGAAAAATTCTACTCCTAATAACCTCAAACTGATAGAATGGTTTAGGAATTGATCATTCAAAAAGTTCTTTCCTCAGAGGGAAAGGATAGACAACAAAAGATAATTTTCCAACAGGACGAGAAAGAAAAACAAAAACAAGGAGCAAAACGGAACCAAAGATAGACCCTGAACCGACACACGTTGAACTAAGAAGTGAAGAAAAATACTGTCAACCGGATAAAACAGATATTATGCGAAAAAAACAAATGGAGTTCGATCAACAATTCTCCACATTTTTCGAATAAGATCATAGGAGTTGTCCTGGTCATCATGTTAACAATTTTATGCTCCCCATTCTTTCCGTAGTCTTATTATCGAAAAATGCAACGCCGCCGCAGAGTCTGGGAACTAGGGCGCCACGCCGCCTACAATGTTACGTTTGCCACGAAAACGCATTCCGGTAAGAATGACTTCTCCGCACACATAAGCAAACTCCGACTGAAGAGATAAGTCAAGCTCGATATTATCTCATTAATTATCGTAACAATAATCCACTCTCCAGCCCTTTTAATTGATAATGGTCCATTTATTTCTCACAAATAATCCACGTTTTAATACGTAGTTATCGTTTATAGTATCCTCGACATGGAAGATCCCGTTAGCTTTATCTATAATACGACGATCTATGCCTCAACGAACGATAGTCTTTTGCTGTATGGCCGACACCCAACCTATCCTTTTTATCTGGTTACTACTCCCACCACAACAAAATATGTTATCGGCGAAAATTTTGTGTTTTAAAGTTACGAATGACCACAGCACGTAGAGTAGCTCTAGAACATGCGGAGAAAGCAGCGAAGGAACCACGAGAACGTCACCGATCGACACATAAAGTATTCACATATCGTGGGCGATCGTGTTTTCCTTAATCACGTAGTTGTATCTCAAGGATTAAAGAGAAAACTCGCACCTAGATAGTCAAGTCCCTTCCAAATAGTAAAATAATTAAATCCCGTCAGCTTTATAATCGAGAATATCCGAAAAGGCAAGTTGAAGTTCACGCGAATCGATTAAAACTCTCTACAGACTGATAAGAATACGAAGAGGAAGAAACTATGGAGAGAAACCAATTATATACCCCACATCCCGCAAGGCGGAAATCGCTATCTGAAGATTCTCCTCTTACTATGGGATGAATTTGTATTAGCAGAAATTCCGCAATCAGCGAAATTCGGCAACCTGAATCAGAAGAAAAACCCGAATTGGAGGAAGAAGGCGAATTGGAATCCTCGATCGACGTGAACTAATAGAACAAATTCTTTCTCATCCCTATGTTTTAATTAAGGAAACGAGGACCAGTAGAGGAACAACCGTGGATTCCTCCTCCTCGTCGAAGAAGTAGAATACCTAGATTTATTTTCACTGCTTCTAGCGCCTCACGCTCGAGTAGAGAAAGTAGCTAAGCAGAGTTTTCTTACCAATTTAGCTAATAATTTTAAAAAGGGGTCAATTCATTCATAAACATATTTATTTTTCATTTTACTGAGTCATTGCTTTATCGTTTACTTTCAATCTCCAGCGCGCATAACCTCGAAAGCGGAATTCGTAAGTTAACGCAAAAAGAGAGGGAAAGTATCTAAATCAAAGCTCATTTTGTAATTGCCAAACAATACAATCCTATCAAGCAATAGACAAGTTCCTTTTACATATACATCTATTAATAATATCCGACCCAAAAAATAAGACCTATAATCTAATGTAATCGCGATTCAATACATTTAATGATATGTTCCGATTAATAACTATCTTCGTTTGTACCGGAAATAATCAATAGTCTATGACATTAATTAATCAAATAAAGGTTAGAAACATCACGTTAATAACGAAAGAAAAAACGTTTGTAAAAAATTGCATTTTGTCTGTTCGAACGGATGTATTAGTCACTATTCCAATGTCAACTTAATTGTATTACTTACTATTTTCAGATTTTTTAAATCAATAAATATCACTGAAAATGATCCCGTTTTTAAAAGATCGTTATTTTTTTATTTATGAAATTTTGAAAGAATATACGTTTTTAATTGAAAGAAATTCACGGTTACAAATAAATATTTGTTTTATGTATTAAATTCTTTGCACGTGACACTCACTAAATCATATTGATTGAACAAAATAAATAATAGTCAAGTTATTAAAATGCTTTATTTAAGCAAATCATGAATCATCAGAAATTGAATACAATTCTACAATTTGAATCAATTTAGAACTTAAAATGTAAATTAATACACCAACCAATTTTATATACCAATTTAAATAAATATACCAATTTGTTATGAATATAATAATAATAAAATCAGCTTAATATAATTTTTAATTAAATTGTTAATAAAGATAAATTGAAGGAAGTGATTTTTCTTAACATCTGTCTGCATTCGCCAGGCACGACTGAAAAAAAAACAATAATAACAACAATCAAAATAATTTATAAAATAATTTGAGTAAATTAAAATTTTATAGTAAATTTTAGATTTACCTACAACATTTTGATTTGATTTTGATTAATTTAAATAAAATCCTGACCATAAATTGACGGAAAAATTTTAATTATTACATTTTAATATTATTTTAATATAATATAGAAGTATGATTAATCGACAATATTTTAATCCTTCGCTTTTTTTTACTTTTCCAGTTGTTTTATATAACAGAGGAAAAGTATGGCGATCGGTCAGAAACTGATCCCCAAAAATTTTTACATTTTTGGACACCTCGAAACGTCGAGAAATGCAAAAAATTTTGGGGTAATTTTTATGTATGTTAGTGTTTGTATGTGTGTGGGGCACGATTTTGTTCACCCTGTGCTTTTAATATCGCTTGTGCTTTTTGTAGAAAATTTCTGAAATTTTGCATAGAGGTTTGTTTACTAGGGGATTGATGCTGTTAAATTTTGGTGAATAAAGTGCGAGTGGGTTGGGAGATAGTGGGGATCGTGCGTGTCTTCAGTAGGGTCAGACTTGAAGATTTTACTCGTTATTAGCATTTCCAATTTTTTACAAAACTCATCCCAATCCTCAAAATTAAGCTTTTTGCCATTTTATAATAGTTAAAAATATAAAAAGTTATTTTAATAAAATATAATAGAATGCGACATGAAAATTTTAAACGTTGCCGGGAAAGTTGAACAACTAAAGTAATGTAAACAATCTTCTTACAAAATTCAGCAATATATTTGTATCTATGCGTGTATTTCATATTCTATATAGAGACTGGCTACATATAAAATTTTAAGATGTGGCAAGTTTATTTTCATATATGTAACAAAGATTCTATAACTTTTGATAGTTGAAGGCAAAGGAGTTTAAAGACAAAGAGGGCCATATATCGTGTTTCGAGTGGGGTCAGACTTAATAAAAGTTTACTCGTTATTAGCATTGACAATTGTTTAGAAATTCGCTCTTACCCTCAAAAATAAGCATTTTTCGTTATTATAATAATTAATAATATAAGATATATTTTAAAATAAAATTCCTTAGCAGATAGTGAAACACATAATTTTGTAAAGAACGCGTATTGGAAATAATAATAAAAATATTTAACTAGAACAATGACATATTAAATATTTCTAACAAAATTAATTGATTCTAATTTTAAAAATCTTTTCAATATTTAAAACAGTATAATATTCATTATACATAAGTTAATATCAGTTAAAATTTTCTTGTACTATTCAGTTTCTTTGCAATTTCAGCCATAGATAAGCCTGAGTTAACAAACAATAACTTTTTCCTTCTAATTTTTGTTTAATTTAGAGACTATTTCCTTTGTTTTTTTTTCTTTTTTCTTTTTTTAATGATCGACTACATATGACAAGTAAACTGGAAAAAATACTGCTGTTTGAGAATCTCGTATGCACGCGCGAGTAGCATTTTTTCAAACAACCTTAGCAACAGTCATATGAATTTGAAATTTTAACTTTTCTAGTGTTTAAACGCTGTGTTTCTAAATTAAGATATCACCCATTTTACAGTTTTATCATGTTTTGTTTAATTTTCGCAAAAGTGAAATGAATAAGAATCAAATCAGTCATTACATCTTGTTATCCCTGCTTTAATATTCCTAAAATAATAAATTTCATCGGAGAAATTTTAAATTTTCGATTAGATTAAAAATATAAATTCTGTCTATTTTTTCTGTACATCTTAAGTGTTGTGTCATTATATAAAATTAAACTGCTAATGATCGGCACGTATTGTTATATAAATTAATTAAACCAATTCCAAATACTTTACTTACTATATATTAATTGATGTAATAATTATTTAGTATGTTTTATATATATATATGTTACTGTGAAAGACCAATATTTGTGAATGTCGACATTGACCGGTGAATGTCGACACAAACAACTGTGTGAATGTTGAAATTCATCACACACGACTGTGTTAATGTTGATATTCCCCCCATTTCGGTCATTCACAGTAACATATATATAAATTGTAAATACATCTACTCGCATGATACTTACATCGACAACCTTATAAGTACTTGGAAAGTTCAAACTGTAAGTATAGTCAGCTGAACCAAGACATATGATAAATTGCTTATATTCCTATTAATATAAAGATTATCAATTAACGAAATAAACAATAATTAATATGATATTTAGAAACAGGAATAAGTTACTTGTGGACATGACCGCAGATTATTACAAAGGAAATCATCGACCTCTTCTTTAGTTGGATAAAATTGTATTTGTTGAGCACAGTTTTTAGCGAATTCCAGAACCTAAATACCAAATATTAATAAATTATTGCTTGGAAAATAAATTTTAAAATAAAAGTTTTGTGAATATTTAAAAGCTTACAATTTCGAATCCATTTTGTCTCACGCAAGACTGAAAGTTTCTTCTTCCGTCACAACTCAGTGCTAATTAAAATAAAAATTAGAAACGTAAAAATATTTCCAACAAATTTCATTTAGATTTTCATAAGCACAGTCAGAACATTATAACGATAATTACGAGTGAAACATCAAAATAGCTATAAGCAGTATGTTACTAAAACACTTACCACAAAAACAATCCAGAAATCTTGAGGCATGTTCATATGGATTCGCAGGTCTAACACCTGAACTTTGTTGATACAGTTGAAAAGATTCAATTGAAGGAAAAACAATAGTAAATATGAATAACATTAGCATAAACGTCATATTCATTGATGTTTTCATTTCGTTTGGTAGATTTATGTGCTTATATATATAGTTTAACACCTAAAAATATAACAAGCATTTAATTGTGGAAAAATGCAATTTAATTTATTATATTTTTATGCTAAAAATGATTCAAATATTTAACGTAAATTTTTAATATGGTGAATCTAAAATTTTACTTTTCAGATATAATAGAAATTTAATTAAATTATAATTTTAATTCTATCGTTACAATTGTTTATTCAACCTCAAGTCTATCTAAAAAAAAAAAAAAATATTCTGGCAAAGAGTCTTGCACGAATTTCTCGGTACATACATATTATAACGTTAAAGTTAGGTGTAGAGCCTTCTATTACGGGACTTTATTAAAAGTTATTTGATATTTTTAATTATTATGGAAAATAAACCGTTTATTTTAGTATAGAAGCGAGTTTTTAAAGAAATTGTAAATGCATATAGTGAGTAAAAGTTTCATTACAAAATAAATAGGGTCACGTGTTATATCTCTTTTGGGGTCAAATAAAAATAAAACTCTATTCGAGATATAACAGTGACCCAGAAGCGGATCTACATAGCGACTAATATGGCTCAAGACCTGAGCTCCCAAGTATGAAAGACCCACAAAAATTGAATTATTATCATATATTTTAAATACTTTTTCATTAACAATGACCACTTATCGTACTTATCGTTTAGTAAAAAATTGTTAATATTAATAATATAATAATAATGATAATTTATAGTATTATTTGCATTAGCAAAAATTGACGCCCCATTAAACTCTAATAAGCCCTGAGCACCGAAAAACATAGATCCGTCCCTGCAGTGACCCCATCCATCTTTTCATTCTTTAACTAAAAAAATTTAATGGTACCAATGCCTCACACATACAAATAATCTTGCTAAATTTCAAAATGTTTTGTGTATCTAGTCAAAACTGATAACAACACACGACGATACGAAATATTGTAATATGGTGTGACATTTTTGGGTTCCTGGAGGGACCCAAACAAGGAGAAATGCAAATCAACCAGAAGGATTCAAAATTTGATCGATCACCAAGATCATCCGTACATTAAGTTCTATAATAGCCGAGAAAGAAAAAAATTAAATATATTTAACACGTGTAAAGATCTTCATGTATTTAACATCTTAAATGTTCCCCGACAAAAAGTGACTTTACTAAAATTAAATGTTTTCTGCAATTTGTATTTGCAAATGAGAAGAAAGCCAAAACAAAAAATTACTTTCTAATTGGATACGTACTATACATTCCTCGCTCATATTTTTACGCTAAAGAAAGATAAAAGACAGAACTTACCTTCTAATAATCTATTAAAATATACTGAACGTTAGATTTTATAAAGTAAAGTTCTTATGCGTCGTTAAAGTAAAGCTGCATAAAAATTTATATTCGCGTGTGTTCGAATTCTTTATATACTATTCCATATGAAAACACCAGCTGCGTGTGTTGTCAATGTACGACCTGTCATTTGAACTCCATTTTCTCATAATTAGCTTTTAAAAATTCGAATATTTTAATTATTTTATATTTAAAAAAATTTAAATTTATCTACAAATATATTCAACCAAAATATAAAATCCTTCCTTTTCCAAATCGAGTTTCTTCTTCTTCTTCTTCTTTATCTTTGCCTTTTCCCATGTTTATATGGAGACGGCGTTTCCTTCTCTAATACGTTTTTTCTATTTCTCCCTATCAAGGGCTTCTTCTCTCAAGTCCCCTCTGGTTCAAGTCTTCTTTTACCTTATCTTTCCAATGCATCTTTGGTCTTCTTCTTTTCCTCTTTCCTTTTACTACCAGTTTTCCGATCTTCTTTCCAACATAAGTGTCGCTTCTTCGCTCTACGTGGCCAAACCACCTCAACCTACATTCTTGCATCTTTTTGCTCAAGGGGCTCACCTTAAAAGAACCTTTAATAAAATCATTCCTTATTCTATCCTACCTTGACACTCCACACATTTATCTCAACATTCTCATCTCTGCCACCTCATCTTTCTTTCTTGGGATCTTGTTATTGCCCTTGTCGCAGCTCCATATAACATTGCAGGTCTAACAACTGATTTATACAATTTTCCTTTCAGAGTGCAGCTAACTTTCTTGTCGCATAACACACCGCTCAGCTTCCTCCAGTTCATCCATCCACATTGAATTCAATGCTGCACCTCCGAGTTCAATCTTTCTCCTATCTCGACGAATATCCCAAGATATTTAAAACTCGGAGCCAAAGGGAGCGACACATTTTTGATTTTAATATTACACTCGTCTCTACTATTCAGTCATATAAGCTGTTTTATTTCTGCTAATCTTCATGCCTTTTTCTTTCAAAACTTTCCTCCAATCTTTCAGTTTCTTCTCAGCCTTGGTTTGGGAAAGTTCACTCAGCACAATATCATCCGCAAGCAGCATACTCCACGGAGCCTCACAATGAGTTTGAAGATGAATAAAATTTAATCTAAAATTCAATTTTCAATTGGTTGAATTTGTACTTTAATTCAACTTTTAAATTAAATTCAAAAAGCATTGATTATTAATAAGAATTGACAGTATTTTGAAGAAAATGTGGAAATGATTTAGACAATTAGACAATTTGTCAATGTATAAAAGCTAGACACCCCAAAACATACAAATAGGGCGCACAGACACACTCATACTCACATACATCTAACACAAACAAAACAAAACAACACACGACAACAAACACACGCATAAATCATATTACAAGTTAAATATTATTGAACTTTAAATTTGTTTTTAACAAAGATACCCAGAGGGAAGATAAAAGAATTAAATTGCCGAGGAATAAGGCGCTCTTTTGCAATATTTCGTTTACTTTTTTTACTTCAATATAATAATTTAATTTGTTATAGAAGCCCAATATGTATTTTTTTTTTTTTCAAGTTTTGGGAAGACTTAATTTTTAATATATTATAGTATATTTTCAGTATACAGTATATAGATATTATTGTATTCAATTTTCAAATAGTTTTAAAAGTTTTTCATAAAATAATAAAACTCAACATTAAAATTAAAAGTTTAAAGACTCTATCAAAGCAATAATAGCTGCTATAAGTGTCAAATTGAGAGATACAAAAATTATAATACAGATATCCTTGTTCAACGCGGTTTTACTCTAACATGGTTCGAAAATCCTCTATACAAAATCAACAATTTTTAGGTATTTAGTAAAATTTATTCAAACATTTGTAGATAAGTGCTATTAAACCTTTTTTGACCGTAAGCAAGCAATAATTCGTAAAATAATGAACAAAATACTGCGGTGTCTCGCTACTCCAGCAATTCGGTATTCGAACTCAAATTCTGGAAAAAAAGTCACTCGTTACTCGATCGAACAAATTTTCGATTAATAACATATTTTTATTTCGTCATCGATAAGAATTTTTTATGATAAAAATCTAAAAAACCAGCAACGAGTTGCTTAACTTTTCCAGCAACATTTGATGGCGCCAACTGTTATGATATTTTAGTTTAAAGAGTTTTATATTTTTAATTATTATAAAATCGCAAAAAGCATAATAATATTGAGGGTAGGGATCAGTTTTTCACCAATCGGCCATTGTTATGTAACAGTGGAAAAGTAATATGAAAATGTTGCTCTTAACTCTGATCAAGATTAAGAAAAAGCTCAGATGACGACGATACTTTGTAAAGACGAAAACGCCACGGTTTAAATAAAATTAATATTAACGTGTAATACAGTATTTTTAATTGTAATTGTTAATTACTTAATTAATACCCAGCTACATGTCTCTTAACTTCCACAACAACATTTTATTTCGGTGAGAACTATTTATTAATCGTTACGAACGTTTTTAACCTATTCTACAGGTCATCTTCAGGTTTTTAAAATCATGGAATTTTGATAACTGTTCTTTTTGTGTAGAACAATTAAAAACACATTTAAAATACAAAATTCTTTGGAATATTGAGCTATTTGAATTCAGAGAATAGATTACAATAATATATACAATTTAAATAATAAAATAGGTAAAAAAGTAAAAATAAAGAAAAAAAGAAAAAAATTAGTCACAATAGCAGTTTCTGAATGTATGGACATTATGCACTATTTTCTTATAAGTTCTTTTCGACTATATATTTAAGGTTGAAAAATTATTAGATAGTTGTGGAATATATTTCTAGCAAAATTAAGAACACCACCACCATTTTCTAATGTCATTATGTCTACGTGTTAACTCTAGGTAATCATAACACAAATGTAAATTCAGCACGGTAAACCATCACAGGTGCAAGTAGAATTATAAATTATGTCAATAATAATATAGGTCACAAGTGACACCATTGAAGTTGGTATTTCCGTTATTTATCGTGAAAATAATTTAATATGGCTTTGAAATAAAAGAAAGTAAATTTGTTTTTTAAATGCTTTAAATTTTCTAAAAGCACGAAAAAATATTTAATTTTCTTATATTTAACGGCAATAATGCTTCCATTAATGATTTTATTGTTAATTATGACAAAATTTTATAGAACAAATGAGGTCAGTAAACATTAACAGAATTGAAAAGCATATGTTCAGTAAATATGTGTTTATATCAACAATAAACATAATTAACATATGAAAGCGTGTGTTTACGAAGTCATTAAAGGAAATTAACCTAAATAACGATAAGCGTATTCATTTATGTTAATTAATTCGCTTATAACTTATAGTCAGGTTAAGCTGACTATAAGTTATAAATTAATAAGTTATAAGTTAAGCTGACTACAAGTAAATTTACGGAATTTCATTTCATTAATGTTAATTTTCATTGATGTTTCAGAGATTGATTTATTAAACATGAATGTATCTCTGTTTATTTCCAAGTAATTGGTTTTTTCGATTGTGAAATCGCGACATCTGGGAGATCTGCCCAGGGAAATGCCGGGGAATCTTTTATGGGAAACTGGGCCCTATTTATGTGTTACAAACGTTAAGAAAATACGATAAACTCCAAATGACCAATCCGTTAGGCGTGGCGGGAACACGCGACCAACCAACATACCAGATTTGTGGTTTTATCCACTCGGCCAATAGTGTGCTTATTGAGCGGAGCTCTTCATAAGTCAGAAAGTGTTTTGTCAAATCTGTTTGTTTGATCGGAGTTTAAAACAATCACACGATTATTAAATCTGATTTTTTTCCAAATATATTTATTTCGGTAAGGCAAATTTGAAATTCCATATGTAGGATGAGATATTCCAGGTGAAAATTTGCCATGTAAATTCGTCATGTTTATCGGCCCATGACGGTTTTAAGTTAAAATCAACCGCGCGATCACTAAACATCAAATTTTGCAAGCAGACTGTTTTGAAATGATAGAGCTACAGTGTAAATTGATTTTGAAATGGTATTAATAACGTAATAAGAAGCATGTTATGATACTGATTTCCATGCAGACATAAAGTGTTTTAATGTGAATATAGAGCTTCGTCATTAACACGTAAGCAGTCATACTTGGCCCAATTAGCCTAAATGGTTTCGATTACGTGTCATTTGTCACGTGAACAGTCATTTCTTTCCCTTCGTATTTATTTGTGAAGAACATTACAAAACAACAGAAATAAATTGATTTTGGTTTAAAGACATGTCTGTTTCGGCAGTTAATTAAATTGCAATTAATATGGAAAATAGCAAACAGTATAGTAGGAGAGTAGTAGATAATATAAGATTGTAGTGGATTACGTTCACCAGTGTGCAGGCGGTTCCGTTCCCTAAACACTAAGAGTTCAATTTTTCTATTTCTACGATAAAACCTTTAATTCATATTAAAGGTTTATCGTAGAAATAGAAAAGTTGTTCGCATCATTGTTACAAATTTTATCAATTCTTGTGGAGAATATAGAACAAAAAAAGTCACGAGTCTAGGGCAATTTTCATCTCATCTAGCCACAAATGTGTTAAAATCAACAGTACACATAGTTATGAAATTATCACGCCTTCTACAAAATAAGGAAATGAACCAAATTCTGTCTCTAAATAAGAACCACAAAGACAAGCCTTTGGCATGGACTGATAAATAGCAACAAGTTATTAGGACTGATGAGAAGAAATTCAACATGGTTAGGCCAGATGGCTGGAGAAGCTATTAGCAGGATATTAGGAAAAGAGAATTAAGTATTTTCTTCTATATAAAATTAAAATAGACGAAAAAAAGTAGTAAAACTAATATGATAAATAATTCTTATTCTTTCATATTTTCATAAAATTAGCCATTTAAATTAGTGTTAAGCCCGTAAGTGACAATAAATGATTTTAAAAAGAAATTCAATAAAACGTCTTTGAATTTTATATCGTAATCTGTAACAAAGTAATATAAATGTTAATACATTCAAATTAGTTATTACAAGTTATCATATCAGATAATTTATACATTTAGTATTAATTATAGGTGGGTCCCTCGGACGCGACATCTT